AAAGTAGGAAGAGAGGAAGGCCACATGCCAGATGGAGGGACTCTATTATTAAGAAAGTCACTTTGGGTATTAAGGGGTTGCAAGATTTAAGCAGAGCAGGAGAGGACAGAGGGTCTTGGAGATGTCTCATCCATAGGGTTATCATGGTTGAGATCAACTTGAGGGCAGCTAACTACAACAAAGAGCAAATGCTCTGCCTTTAGAAAGGATAAAGTTCAGTCCCTGAGAACTCCCAGTTGTTGTGTGCTTTCAAGTCATTTCTGACTTGTGCCGAACCTATCATGGGCTTTTCTTGTCACGATTTGTTCAGAGGAAGTTTGCTATTGCCTTCCCCTGAGGCTGAGAGCATGTGACTTTAAAGGGATTTTTTTTTCTTTTTGAGGGGAATATTTTCAAGCTATGGATAGTTGAATCTGTGGATGCAGAATCCGTGGCTATGGAGGGCTGACTGTATATTTCTTTTTGCACAGTGTTTATTTAAGCAGGCCTATAGCCACAGGAGGGTCATAGTATCCTGCCCTTTTCAAAAGTCCCCACTGAACCCTTCTCATATACAGGAATGATCTTATCAGGCTGCCTTTGTTCTGCCTGAACATATGTGTGTGTGTGTCTCCTGCTAAAGGATGTTGTATTTATTTAAAACTGTATTTATCTATATCAGCTTATCATAAGTACACTCAGTCCTCTATATCCATGGATTCAAGTATTCATAGCTTGAAAATATTCCTACCTCCAATAAAATCCAAAAAGCAAACTTTGATCTTGCCATTTATATAAGGGACACTCTCTTCTATGCTATTGTATTTAATAGGACTTGAGCATCGATGGAATTGGGTATCCACATGTGTGTGTGTCCTGAAAGCAAACCATAGCGGATACCAAGGGCCCATTGTATGGATTTGCAACCTAGAGTTACAGATCTTTAACTGATGTGTTTCAGTAAAATTACTTAATTTTACTGTAAATCTGCATAAACCCCACTGAGTTGAGCACAAACTACTTTTGCACTTTATGCATCTGACTATGCACATCTGAGGAAGTAGACTGAAGTCTACAAAAGCTCATGCTGCCAATTTCTTTATTTCAGTTAGTCTCAAAGGTGCTACGAGATCTCTCTACATATTGATTCTAGAAACTAACACAAATTCTACTTTTGCACTTAGAACTCAGCTTGCAGAAATGGAAGTAAGCTGAGGATATGGGGAATAGTGAGAGAAGAAGAATGAAACTGGGACATTTGAAAAGCAGCCGAGAAAGTGGGAAGGCAGAGGATTAATTGGGACTGTTGCTGCCAAATCAGGGCATTTGGACGGTATGACTTTCATAATCTCAGTCTAAATTAAAGAATGAAGGTTACAAAAACATACCAGGAGCTCAGGAAGACCTTCTTGCCCAGGCAAGGGTCAACTGAAACATTGCTCTCCAATGGGCTATGAGTGGATGGAGACTATCTTGGACCAGAAGGTACTTTATTGAGAACCTGCTACCTGCAGTTCAGCCCATCAAGGGAGCTGTAGACAGTTCTTGACTCCTTGTTCATCTGGTCCTGTTTATGCTGCTGTAGATAGATAGGCGAGTATGAATCTGGCTTCAGTCAGCCATGTACTAATCCATTAACCACCCCTATTGGAAAGGCAATCAGGAAAGATGACTCTGGAATAAAATAAAATAAAATAAAAACCTTTGCAAGAAAATCATTATTGTAAGACACGGCGTTCCTATTGCTCATCCGTATTTTCCAGCCATGGCAGCTGGTAAGTGCTTTTCGGCAAGGCCATGCATTTTCAAGCTCATTTGTGTGTCAGCCTAAATAGGATGCACTTTATTACCTTTATCTCGGCATCTCAATAAAAGTGCTTTGCTGTTGGAGTTGATACACGAGCGCCATATCCTGGTACTATTGCAATGAAGCTCTGTTCTCCCAACTCAGTCTCCTCTGGGTAAAGCCACAGGAATGCAGAAATTAACAGGACAATAACTCCATCTCATATTTTCCCCTATATTAATAATTGGGCTTGACAAATCAGTATTATTAGTGCTCTCTCCAGGCATCCAGACTGTGGAAGGGTGACCGCTGTTGGAAGAAACTGCAGTCCATTTTATAGATGTGCAGATCTATTAAATTTGTTTCTGCACACTCCCTCATTTTCCGCACTTCCAAGACCATTCCTTACCAGTACGGAGATGTTTTTTTTTCTCCTTTGAAGCAGGGGGGAAAAATATCTGTATGCATTGTTTACATTTTCAGATAGACATATTAATGGAAGCACTCAGTTTTTACGTATTTTCAAAACCTATGTATATACCCTCTCCCTGTCCCAATCTGGCAGGGGCAATCCCACTTAATCCTCTTCCCTCCCACTTTTTCAGCTGTTTTTCAAATGCCCCAGTTTCTCTCTCCTCCTCCCCTTTCCTCCTTTGTCTGCAGCTTACTTCAAACTGCAAACTGAGTTCAAAGTATAAAAGTAGTTTACACTCAACAAATTCAGGAGATGGGATTTGAGAGGAGGGGTGGAATCATTTTTTTAACCTTAAAATAATTACACAAACAATCATTAAGAGAGTAGTACAGAGTGCAGGGTCTGAATAACAATATACATTAAAGAATGATAACCGAAATATAATTTTAACTGGCTATCATACATCATGTAGAAAGATCAGAGGTAAGAAATTTATTTTAGGCTAAATCACTTAATTTCCTATTTCTATAGACAATGTTTTCTATTCTTATGACCCTTCATATCCTTTAATTATATCCTGATTAAGGCATCTGTATATTTCTCCCCATTTCCTTTCATATTGTTGGGTTGTGTTCCCTGCAATGTACATGGACAATCTGTCCATGACCGCAAGTTCATTTAGTTTAGCTTCCCAATCCTGTAAAGTCGGTGTTTTCTCAGATTTCCAATATCTTGCATACACCTTCCGTGCCACCATTATCATATATAATATAATACTTTTTTCATCCTGACTGAATTTAAACTCCATCTCCTCTGTTATGTTTAATAGAAACAGCTCTAGTTTTAATGGGATGCTTTTCTGTACTATGTTACCCATATTCTTGTGTATATTTTCCCAATATTTTTTTACCTTTCTACAGTGCCACCACATGTGATACATGGTACCCAATTTATCCTTACATTTCCAGCAATAATTGTTATTTTGTTTCTTCATTCTTGCTAATCTACCATCTATGGAAGATTTTGTGAAAGTTTTCCTTTAAGGAGTTACATTTTGTAAACTTAATATTATTTTTCCACGCATCCTCCTAACTTTGTAAAGGTATAGAATTTCATATATTCTGCATTCATTTGATCATATTGTTTTTCACTGTTTTTTCCCCTAATTCTAGTAAAAACGTATATGTCTTCCTTATCCAATGTTGATCGCCTTCCTTTAAGATTTTGTCAAAAGTTTTTCAGTTCGTTTTTCATTCCATAGTCTTCCATATCCTTTTTAAAGTCTTCTTTTATCTGTAGATATTTAAACCAGTTGATTTCCAAACTCTCTTGCCATAATTCTTCTCTTATTTTAATTCTAAACCCTTCATTGGATTTCATCAATAGATTTTCATAGGTAATCCAGGTTCCTTTCGGAGGAGCTCCTTTTTTTATCAAATGCCTCCTGTGGGGATGCCCAAATTGATATTGTAGAGTAGAAGTATCTTTTGTATTTCTTCCATACACTATATCAGGGGTAGGCAACCTAAGGCCCGGGGGCCGGATGCGGCCCAGTGAAGCCTTTAGACCGGCCCCAGGCCAGTCCTGCCGCCGCCGCCACCTCCCACCATGATGATATTGATTATTGTTGTTATTATTTGTTCTTGGGGTTTTCTTGGCAAAATCTCCACAGGGGTTTTGCCATGGCTTTTCTGGGGCTGAGAGAGAGTGCATGCATATATTTTTTTAAAATTTATTTTTGTTTTTTAAAAAATATTTATTTATTTATTCATTTATTTATTTATTTATTTATGGTGCTTCGGCCCCCCAATTGTCTGGGGGACAGCAACCCGGCCCCCAGCTCAAAAAGGTTGCCTACCCCTGCACTATATAATGCCTCTCTTATACAATGGATGTTGAAATCTTTATCTAGCTTGAGCTTCCCTTCCAAATAATGTTCAGGCAAAAGCAAATTGCTGCATCCTCTTCCAGTTTGTCTGTTCTTCCACATTAATAACTGTTACCATGTTGCTTGGTCATGTGTCTCCTCATTTTCATCTATGAATTGTTGGAGTCATTGCGGCCATCATCGCATAGCTTTCAAATGTGCACATGCTGTCAAATATATTTTTCTTTCTTTTCACTGAAAGCATTACAAGAGCAGCCATGTATGGATCTCTGCAGGCATTATTCTAATGTGCAACTGGACACATTTTGTACAGCATCCTCCCATATGAATGCTTCCCATGTTTTGAGATTTTCTGGGAAGGGCCTTCTCTCTTTTCCATCACCCTCAGAGGTATACCTAGAATATGGGAAGGCCATGGCAAACCTCCTGTGAACAAAACCTGCTAAGAAAACCCCGAGGTTTTACAGGCACGCAGAAAGTGTTGCTTTTCATCTCTAGATATTTTTAAAAATGGCTTTCACCGTTCCATCTTTTTTTTCAATCCTCAGAGCATGTGAGTTGCCCAAAGTCCAGTCTTATGGCCAAGTTGGGAATCGAACCCTGATCTTCAGAGTTGTAGTCCAGCTCTTAAACCACTATGCCACATTGGCTGGATTTGTACAATATTTCAGAAATTGATTTTCACCAATTTCCACTGGTACCTTTTTCATGATTATTCAGCTGTTATAGTCATAGTGTTCAAAGTGTTTTAGCAGTATTAAGTTAGTGATTCCCAAACTTTGATCCTCCAGGCGTTTTTGGCTTCAGCTCCCAGAACCCCTAGCCAGCTTGGCAAACAGTCAGGAATTCTGGGAGCTGAAGTCCAAAAACATCTGGAGGACCAAACTTTGGGAACCACTGTGCTAGTTAAACACTAGGAACATTTTGATGCAAACATTCATCCTTCCCTTGATTGAGTCTGTGTCCTGGAAATAATAGTTGTGTTTAGTGCTTAGTGTTTCAGAATACTTATTGCCTCATAACCATTTGGCTTGGGTCTCATCTGTTATCATAATAAACTTGGTTGTTGTTGTTTAATGGTGGCATCCATCTTAGCTAGTTCCAGGATAATACAAACAGGCAGACTGCAGAGATACAGTTCATTTTGGAAAATACTGGGTTAATTCAAACCGACTTGGAATGCAGGAATAAAAAATCTTGCTTCCTTTGGGATGAAGAAAATATCATGTGGATCTCCAAGATAAAATTGGTTATTATTCCTAGCACATATGCTATTGACACTAGTGATACTGTCATCTCTCTGTATCCACGGATTCTTTATCCAGAGAGTCAAGCATCCACGACTTGAAATTATCCAAAAATGATATAAATTCCAAAAAGCAAACCTTGATTTTGCCATTTTACTATGCTATTGTATATAATGGGATTTGAGCATTCACAGATTTTGTTATCCATGGAGGGTCCTGCAACCAAATCCCAGGGTATACCAAGGGCCCACTCTGCTATGAACCCGCTACACATTTTACAACCAGAAAAGCCCCAATATTCTCTACTTTGGTGTGTGTGTGTGTGTGTGTGTGTATATACCATAATATATATATATATATATATATATATATATATATATATATATATATATATATATGTATATATGTATGTATGTATGTATAGAGAGAGAGAGAGAGAGAGAGAGAGAGAGAGAGAGAGAGTATGGTTGCATCATGCATGGCCATGCAAAACAAGATGTGATTCCAAATGGATCAGGGAGAAGGCTCTCCTTTGTACCAGACTTCTTTCTTATTGTTCAATAGGGAAAAACAGCTTAGACTAAAGCCTAGATTTCTGATTCCAAGACGTTTCCGATTCTGTGTTTGTTTTGGGATGTGCACAATGGGCAGACCTGTATGAAAAATGTGACAGAGTGACTTTCTCATAACCCTTAGTCCATTGTGCACAATAGATCAACCATACTGGAATGGTTGAATACATTCTGAATTTTCTAAGGCTGGAGGCAGTCCATAATATTTTTCTTTCATGTGGATGGAAGCATTTGGAAAGAAGGTTCATGGTGCATTTAGGACTGCATTCTTTCACCCAGGGTTGGCTAGTTTAAAGCAGGTTGGCTTAAAGGATGGTTTAAAGCAGGTTGGATTAAACCAAATTACTTTAAAAAACAACAAAAAAACCTTCTTGTGGTTGTTGTTAGCTACCTGCGATCTAGCATGTAGTCTTCCCTTCTTTCTGCTACCTTCTACCTTTCCTAGCATTGTTTTTCCTAGTGATCCATGTCTTCTCATGATGTGGTCAAAATACAACAGGCTCAATTTGATCATTTTGGATTCCAAGGAGATTTCTGGTTTGATCTGTTCAAGGACCCATTTGTTTGTCCTTTTGGCTGTCTAGAATACCCTAAGTACTCTTCTCCAGCACCACATTCTCTCAAATGCATTGATTTTCTTTCTGTCTGCTTCCTTTACTGTCCAGCTCTCACATTTGTACATGGCAATGGGGAATACAGTGGCCTGGACGATTCTGACTTTAGTGTTCAGTTTATATCTGTACTCTTCATGATCTTTTCTAGTTCTTTCATAGCTGCCCTCTCTGCTCCTAATCTTATTTCTTGACTGCAGTCACCACTCTGGTCAGTGTTTGATCCTAGATAGGGGAATTCTTTGACTATTTCAGTTTCTTCAATGTCCAGTTTAAATTTATTTATTTCGTCTGTGGTCATTATTTTTGTTTTCTTTATAATCAGCATTAAGCCTGCCTTTGCACTTTCATCTTCAACCTTTCTTAGTAGCTATTCCAAGCCTGTGATGTCTTCCGCTAATATTAATTTGTCATCTGCATACCTTAGGTTGTTGATGTCCCTTCCTCCTATGTTCACTCCTCCTTCTTCTGAATCTAACTCTGCTTTTCTTATGATGTTTTGAGCATATAAATTGAACAGATGTGGAGATAGAATGCAGCCTTACCTGACCCCTTTACCTATCGGAAACCACTCTATTTCTCTGAATTCAGTTCTGATAATGGCCTCTTGTCCTTGGTACAGATTTCTCATCAAGACTATCAAATGTAATGGCACCCTCATGTCCTTGAGTGCCTTCCATAGCATTTCATGATCTATACAGTCAAATGCTTTGCTATAGTCTATAAAGCACATGCTGAATTCCCCCCCCCCCCCGGAATTCCTTGTGGAAATCACTTGGAGGCACACAATAACAGCAACAACAACAAAGATGCATCACTAGTAAATAAAATAAACATATGAAGTACATAGAAAAAATTCTGCGTATGTTGTAAGCAAGGATGTTGTTCTTTATGACCACTGCACATGGGCATCACAACGGATTGCCTGGCGTGCCCAGTCATCCTCACCTGTCCTGAAGCAGAGGCAGTTGGACTCCATCATGAGGAATCAGGTGGACTCGCCCAAGCGGGCTCCATTACCTTTTTTGTTATTGCCCCCCTAGCGTATTCTCCGCTGCATTAACCTGATAAAGCGAAGGTGCAGAAGAGATAAAATGTGACAGGATCTAAATAGCTTTGTTCTGCTGCTTGGTGTGCTCATTAGACCAGGGTATAGATTTCTCCCCATCATGCGGGGGTATGTCTCTTTCCTCCGACAGTTCCCTAACTCTTGATGAATCTGTAGCATCCTTTGTTTTATTACTCCCAAAGTTTAGACAAACAGGCCTGGCTGGGAAACAAAGCAAGCCACCAGCTGCTTCCAAATAGGAGATCAAATCAGGTGACAAAGATATATTTATATATATATTGGGGGGGGGGGGAGAGTGAGGGAAAAAAGGAGTCTGCATCTGTCTTTTTTTGTTTTGTTTCTCGAGGACTCCGAGTTTTCTTTGTGACCGACTGGGGGTGGTGGTAGTGGCAGTTAGTACAAGTGATCACAAACGCTGCAGGAAAAAAAAAATCACATTTAGTTCTGCTTTCCGACTCCAAGCTCCGACTTCTGCAATCTACCTCCTCATTCAGCTAGTTTTTTCTTTCGCTGTTCCTTCCATATCACCCATTTGGTAGCCTTTCACAGGCTTGGATCCAGACCATTTGAAAAACCATGGGCTTGTCTACGTGATTAAAATACTCCTCGTTCCAGCTGATTAGAATGTGATCCATCCACACAAGATTTGCAGGAGTTTGAGCTGTGTGCAGTGTACCCCCTCCAAAAAAACCTGCTTAAATTCTGGAGAAAAACTCTGGAGAAGAAACAAGTAGCTGTCCATCAGCTTCACATGGATTCGGGTGGCTGTGCATTTTCGATGGAGGGAGAGAGAATAGATGCAAATATGTGCAGGAAAGTGAAGACAATTAAACATCAATGTGAATGTGCAAAAATTTGCAGCAATTTGCATAATACACATATGTGTAGACTCACCTCATATCTCCCTGTATGGGTTTGCCCAGGTTTTAAGGTCTTCATGGAGAGCTTTCTCTTGGTCCCACCACCATCACAAGCTTGTCTGGTGAGGACATGGGAGAAGGTCTTCTCGGTGGTTGCTCTCAAGCTGTGAAACTCCCTCCTGTGGGAGGCTTGGTTGGCCCTCTCTCTGCTCTCTTTCTGGGGACAGCAAATACTTTTTTAAATGAACCTATTTGGTGTAGTGGCTTGAGTATTGGACTACAACTCTGGAGACAAGGGTTCAAATCCCAGTTCAGTCATGAAACCCAGAATTCAGCTGGGATGAATGAATTCATTAATATCCTGCTTTTCTCCTTGTACAGGATCCAAAGAGGCTTACAAGCAATGAAAAGTCAGGTACAGTTAAATAAATTATTTGTAATAATTCCACAGTTTTGGGGCAGCCACTGTTAAGGTTTTCCAAGCTTCACTATCAACAAAAATGACAAAATAATTAGCACAGGTGGAAATCCACTAAAGAGCATTAGGGAGCATTTTTCCAAAATTTTTTTTTTGAACCTAGAGAGCCCTGGGGAGCCAGCATAGCATAGTGGTTTGAGCATTGGACTATGACCCTGGATACCAGGGTTCAATTCCTATCTTGGTTGTGACATAAATAACTAGCAAAATTAAAATTATATTCAATTTTTAAGCTCTTCAAGGGAGGAATTTCTCTTTGTCCCACCATCATTACAGGCCTGTCTGATGAGGACATGGGAGAGGGACTTCTTGGTGGCTGCTCCCAAACTGTGAAATGATCTCTTATGGGAGGTTCAGTTGGCCTCTTCTCTGCTTTCTTTCTTTCAACGAGTGAAGACCTTCTTATTTAGGCAGGTCTTTGGTTCTTAAATCATGTGGCAAGAGGGAGTTTTGAATGTAGTATGTGGTGTTTTATTAAATTATGATTTTGTTGTTGTTGTTGTTGTTGTTGTGAGCCTTCAAGTCATTTCCAACTTATGGCAACCCCAAGATGGGGTTTTCTTAGCATGATTTGTTCAGAGGAGGTTTGCCATTGCCTTACCCTGAGGCTGAGAGTGTGTAACTTGCCGATGATCACCCAGTGGGTTTCATGGCCAAGTGAGGAATTGTACCCTGGTCTTCAGAGTCATAGCCCAACACTCAGACCACTACATCATGAGATTTAATTATGTACATGTAAATACATTTAGGCTGTGCATTTGATGCTGTAATATAAAGAGATAACTTTAATTTTGCTAGTTATTGATGTCACAA